AATATCAAAATTGCAGAGCTGCCTCGAGCCCTCTTTTGATAGAATCAGGGCATGGATAAATAATGTGTGTCTTGGGCCTTCCAGCACCTCCCTGTATTTGCCCCTCTCTCGTCTCCTGCTTCCCTGTCCTTCTTGTTCTTCAAACTCCAGACAGCTTTATCCTTTCAGCTTTTCCAGTCACCCAACCTCACCTGCCGACCCTTTGCCAGGCCTCCCACCCCAGCAGAGCCCAGACTCCAGAATTATGACAGAGCGTCAAGAAACAGAAGAGGTACTCAAAACTTTCTGTTGGATAAAGCACTTTTTGAGGGAAATTGGGAAAGAATGAACCTAGTCTGAAGAGATGATTGCAAAGGCCAAGTGAAATGAAGAACGACAACACATTTCAGAAGGAGAGTTCTATGCTAGAATTCGAAACCTCATTTCTGGATATGCTGGTCTTTCTTCGTTTGTCTTAAGACCATCCTCGGATGGTCAAAATGAAATAAATTTTGATTGAATTGAATTAATAATTTACATCTCAGAGGACAGTTTCAAATTTTTGAAAGAAACCAAAAAATAATCATATGGCAGAGAATTTCCTAAAAGGCTAATTTTACGTGTTATTGACGAACAGGAGAACTTCTGTTTTTGTAAGTTGTGTGATTGTATCCCATCTCTTCTTTCCCAAATGTTGACTTTGAAGTTTACAGATTCTAATGGTGGGTAAGAATCTGAACAGAGGGGCTGGCCCCATGGCCGAGTGGTTAAGTTCGCAGGCCCCACTGCAGGCGGCCCAGTGTTTCGTTGGTTCGAATCCTGGGCGTGGACATGGCACAGCTCATCAAACCACACTGAGGCAGCATCCCACATGCCACAACTAGAAGGACCCACAGCAAAGAATTTACAACTATGCACCAGGGGGCTTTGGGGAGAAAAAGGAAAAAGTAAAATCTTAAGAAAAAAAAAAAAGAATCTGAACAGAAAGAGGGATTTGGAAGTATGAATTAGCCAGGAAGGTGCTGGAAAAGCTAGGTAAGTCATTTCAGTACAGGTGGATAGGGAATGTGAGGGCATTAGATTTAAGGCAATTCAAAGAATTGTAAGAAAATCCCAGCCCGCCCAAAGTCTCTTTCTTGCCAACTTGCTACATTGTCCATAATCCATTCATTACACTTTGTCTTTGAGATGATCTTAGAAAATTCAGTGTCCAGGAAGGAATAAAATACCCTGTCATCCAGTTCCCTGAAGATGTCAGGGTCTTATTTATTGCTAGGAAGCCAGGAAAAGACTGGGAGGTGGTGGCAAACTGGAGATAAACTCCTCTGGCTTTGTAATTTTGCTGAGTGTGGACCTGCCGAAGGAACAAAACACTGTCAGTCATGGAAACTTCCAAGGTTCTTGGAGCTTCCGTGAGAGTCGAGATGGGAAAGATATTCAGGATCTTGTGCTCTGAATCAAGGGCTCAGCCTTTTTTTGGTACCAAAAGGAAGGTCTCCGCATACAACCCGTCAAGTTGCTCAGAGTTGTAGTACAAAAGGTAGAGCCCCAAAAGCCATTTTAAAGGAATTGCCCCTCCAGGTGACGTCTTTTTCAGATTGTTGGTAAATGTCCAAGAGGCCTAGAACAACTTGAACACAAAAGGCGTGTTTCTGTTTTTCCAGGGTGATGTTTTGTTCTTGGCACTGCATCAGGTTCTTTTGGGATGGCCTGCTCCTTTAATCCCCAGAACTCTTCCCAGGAAACTGCGTTCACAATTGTTCGAATGTGAAAGCAACTTCTAGATGATCCATTTTAACAGCCTCACTTTGCAGATGAGGAAACGAAAGCACAGGGATGATGACAGTTTAAGAAGCAGAGCTGCACAGTGGACGTAGCATGGGTTTGGGAAGCAGACAGACCTGGGTCTACCAGTTGCCAGTTATGTGAACTTGGGCAAGATAATTAATATTTCTGAGCCTCAGTTTCTTCTTCTGTAAAGAGAGTTCTTAGGGATTACCTGCTCAAAAAATGAACTTAAAACTTGGTCAGTATTATTATATTTGCTGTTGTTTTTTAAAATTGAAACATAATTCACATACCATAACATTCACCATTTTATTTATTTTATTTTATTTTATTTTATTTTTGTGAGGAAGATTTGGCCCTGTGCTAACATCTGTTCCCAATCTTCCTCTTTAATTTTTTTTTTTGCTTGAGGAAGATTGTCGCTTAGCTAACATCTGTGGCAATCTTCCTCTATTTTTTTTTTTTGTATGTGGGATGCCACCACAGCATGGCTTGATGAACGGTGCATAGGTCCGTGCCTGGGATTCTCACCTACGAACCCCAGGCCACTGAAGTGGAGCACGTGAACTTAACCACTATGCCACCGGGCTGGTCCCTAAAGATGTTTTGTTTTGTTTTGTTTTTTTTAGTGAGGAAGATTGACCCTGAGCTAACATGTGTTGTCAATTTTCCTCTTTTTGCTTGAGGAAGATTGTCGCTGAGCTAATATCTGTGCCAGTCTTCCTCTACTTAGTATGTGGGATGCCACCACAGCATGGCTTGATGAGCGGTGTATACTTCCGCACTCAGTATCAAACCCGAGAACACTGGACCACTCAAGTGGAGCAGGTGAACTTAACCACTACGCTACCAGGCTGGCCCAACATTCACCTTTTTAAAGCATACAGGTCAGTGGTATATTCACTATGTTGTGCAACCATCATCACTAATTCCAGAACATTCCATTGCCCCCTAAAAAAATCTGTATCTTTTAGCAATTAGTCCCAGTCCTCCCTACCCCTCCCCCTAGCTCCTGGCAACCACTAATCCACTTTCCATCTCTATGGACTTGCCTATTCTGGATATGTCCAATAGATGGAATCATATATGGCCTTAGGTGGTCTAGCATCTTTCACTCAGCATAATGTTTTCAGGCTTCACCCAAGTTGTAGCATATACTTCATTCCTTTTTATTGCTGAATAATATTCCATTATGTGGATATACCACATTTTGTCTATACATTCATCAGTTGATGGATTATGAGTAGCATTGTTTTACATACTTAAGCCAAAGCCAGAAGTTTGGGTGTCTAACACTCAACATGGACCTGTTTTTACTACCCACGCTGGTTTTTGTAACATGTGAGCATATGCATTGTATTAATGGTTTGCTCAAAGAAGCCCTTACAACCTGACTAACTACTCTTAGGATTTTATGCCTTTACAAGAATTTTTCCAGTGTGGGGGGAAAAACCCAAAAACACGATTCAAGGAAATAAAATCTAAATATTGTAGAAAAATTGTGCTGAGAACCAGGTTTAATTTTCATTTTCTAGAGACCAGTGGGCTGATCTTTACCCCTCTTCACCCTGCTGTATTTCATAGAACAACCTGAGGTTTGTACAATATCTTTTATCTACCTGGCTTTTCTGTGTAACTTCGTCCCATGATTTATAGCCCAGGAGCAAAGACAGTTTTTGTTAGCTTTGGTGATGTTTGAGGACCCTTCTCTCTTACTCACTTTACTCCATGGCAAATTTGGAATCATTCTCTTCTTCAGTTAGAGTCACTGTCATTGCAATAACCTGACCATTAGGTAAGAGGAATATATGCCTTTGGCCCATAACTTAGTACATTCAGACAAAGCTGGTCTCCTCTCCTTACAACCTGGCCTCTTTCCCACGTAAAGACTGCCCCAGCTCTCAGGTCCAATAGTCAGGCCTAGAGGGAGAGCAGCTAGCATGGTATACTGGAAAAGTTGTTTGTTTTTCACTTATTGAGATGTAGGCAAGAAAGCCCCAAGCCTTCTCTTTGTGGGTGCATGAAGATCAGAAGCAGATCTGACTTGTTAAGGATTTGGTTGTTGACATTCTTTGCTTGGGAACCAGTGATGTGTGGAATGTGGCAAGGTTCCAGTGGTGAAGGCATTTCCCTGGGTTCATCTGGGGTTTGTGCTTCCTTATCTTGGGTGACACCAGTGGAGGGTCCAGCCCAGCCTGATTTCCTGACTTTGAGCAAGTATTCTCTTTGCTAAAGCTTTAGTGATCTGATCCTGAACACCGCTAATTACTCATCATATTTGATGTTCTATTTTCTTGTATTCTTTGAGATCTAGAGTCATTATTGTGTGTCAAGCTTCACAGACATTATCTCATTTATATTATTTCCTGCTTCTAAGTGTTTGGCAGCCCTGAAATACGTGAAAAACGACTGCGCCTGGCCCTTGTGTTTTTCAAGCTTAAGCAACCTTCTTTCCTCCCGCTACTCCTGGTTGACACAGTTTCCAGCAGCCTTCTTTGTGGCGGTCATCCTATGTCTGCGTGTTTTCCACTTTGTCGCTGTTCCTCTTAATGGGATTCCCAGACTGGAAGTGTCACTCCATGGGTGTCATGAACAACCCAAACTAGGATCATTACCAAGAGGGGAACGTGGTGGTCCTTTAACGCAGCGCACACCCCAGCACTTATTCATCAGTTGCATCTTCATACCAGCCGACATCTCTGCCCCGCCCCCCGGGATCTTTTCTCACTTTAACGGCTGTGAGGCAGAGGTTCCTGTGATCGTGAAGTTGAGTTTTTGATCCTAAGAGCAGAACTTTACATTTACATTTAAATTTTATCCGTTCTTTTTTCCCCTGGGGACTTGTAGTTTTATTACATCAGAACCACATGAATGGAGACTGACACAATTCTGATGCAAGAAATTGTTGAGGAAGTGGAGAATTTTTTTTTAATGATACATTAGGATTAGCTTTGTTAATAGACAACTCCTTCTCTGACTGCCTATCCTAAGGTGCTCTCCTTAGTAAGTTCTAAGCGTTTTGGTTTGTTAGGGGGTTATTTTTAGCATCAACAATTATATAGATTAAAAGGATGAATTGAGTGTCAGCCTCTTTAGGAAGCTTCGTACCTCAATCTGTTGGTCAGGATTTTAATCACGTGGGTCCTGTGTGGGCCATTGAATGTGTCAACCTGCTGCATTGTTCGAGAAGGGTGTTTTGAGGGTTTTAACAGGCACCTGTCTCTTTGTTGCAGTTACCTGGCTGAGCAGTGCTGGAATGGCGGCTTTATCTACCTGATCATGCTTCGTCGCTTTAAGCACAAAGTCCATTCTCCTTATAATGGCAACAGTAGCAACAGCTCTGAACCAGGAGAAACACCTACCTTGGAGCTGGGTGACCAAACTGTGAAAAAGGGCAAAAGAGCAAGGAAGTTTGGGGTCATTTCCAGACCTTCTACCCACAAGGCCACCGAAGAATCCAAGAGTAGCACTGGCTGTGAGTTGGACAATGACCCTATCTCTGGCCTGGACAATGGCCCGGATCCCGAACTTGGAAATGGTCATGCCTTTGAGCTAGAAAATGGTCCAGATTCTCTCAAGGAGGTGGCTGGACCCCATGTAGACCGGTCAGAAGTGGACACAGGGACAGAGCATAGGATTCCAAAGACAGATGCTCCGCTGCCCACGAGCAATGACAAACGCCGCTTCTCAAAATCTGGGAAGACGGACTTCCAATCAAGTGACTGCCTGGCACGGGTAAGGTTTGGTTTGATTGTAGAACCTGAATTTTGAAAAGAAACATTGTTTGACATTGCTTTTAAAGTTGAGAAAATATATCTAAGATGATCTTGTGTTTAGAAGCCAACAAATTTATTAAGATAAACGATCAGAGGACATAACAATAACAAAAAAATCCAAGTCATTTTATCCCACTTAAATAAAGAGCCAGTCAAGTGATCATAAGTGGAAAATTCAAGCCTTCTGTGGTATAATTTGAGTCATATGAGTCCCAGATAAAGTACTTGAAGTGTACCGTTATTTATCACTGCTGTCACCAGTGGAATTGCCACTGCAAGGCCAAGAATTCCTGGTGGCAGTCGATAGCATAAACATCCCAGCCTCAGTATTACACAGGAAGGATGTCCAACATGCAGGGAAGCATCTGCCTTTGTTTTTAACGCTTCAAAACCAGTGACATTTTCATGGGATCTTATTATTACATTGCTGAATTCCAGTGAAGTTTGGAAACTTCACAGAAATCTCTGATACTATGGTATCCAGCTGTGATGGTCAGGGCTGATCTCACCTAAAGGCAAAGCAGATGTGGTATATCCTGAATGGTAATGGATGCGCTTCTAGCCTCAAATTATCTCTGTCATTAGAACCAACACTCTCTCTTTGAGTTACATTTCTTTAGGGTAAGCGTATTCGTTCCAAGAATCCTCTTAGCAGATATTCCTCTGGGTTCCCAATGAAGCAGTAACTTCCTAGGTGGCTCCTGATTGGTTTCTTCTCTGACTCAAGAGATGCCCTTTAGGGATGAAAGAGAAAGGTAGAAAGTGGGCGCAGAGAAAATATCAGGTTCAGCTTTGCATCCTGGGAAGTGGTGCCCTGGGAGTGAATGTAATTTCTGGTAAGGCTATTTCATGTATTTTTCTGCAATTGTAGTCAATCGTATAATGGATTGAGAAGAAACAAAATAACCCTCTTTTAAGGGGCCATGTTCCTTCATTTGAGGAGCCAAGTAATCTTCATAAAGCCTTACACAGAGGAGGCATGTTTGTAGATGGAAGATGTGAATGAATCAGAAGAAAAAATTAATGTCTCTTATCAAAGATTTTCTACCAAATTTATGCCCCCCCAAAAAAGGATTAGGGGCAATAAAAAAGATTATAATGTACCCTCCTCCAAATGAAAGGCAATAAAAACATTATAATGTGTTCCTTATCAATGAATACTATATCTTGATATGATTTTCCCCCTAATGATTAGCTTGTGAATGCAGAAAGCCTATGGTGAAAAAAGTTAGGAATTGTTGGTTCCCTTAATCATTTTGAAGGTTTAAGGTACCAAAGGAGGTTGATTCTCACATAGTTCAAAGGGCAGGCATTAATGGGGCCTACACTGTGGAAATAATTTGGAATGATTTTAAAAGAAAAACAGCACACCAAACTTTTAAGAGACTACCATCCTCTGCCCATCCTAATTAAAGACAATAAGATAAAATTGAATTTCTGAATCAGACTATCTGACGAGAACACATACAGAGTTCCTTTGCTTGGTTTTTGTACTCAAGGTCAAATGTCCGCGAAGATATACTAAATGAAAGAGTGAAAAAAAACCAACTTCAGTCTTTTGCCTTTGGGGCATTTTTTTTTTTTTTTTAAGCTATATGCCTATAGAAAGGAGAAACTTGCCATCTGGAATTTGCATTCTTCGCAATTGTCCATAACCTAGAGACTGATTATTGACCCTGGGTTATACTTTTTGTCTTGGAAAGTCAGACTGGGCCACACACTTTCTCAAGCATGAATATTCTAGCACCATTTTCAACCCCAGCAGTGTCATCATTAGATGCTTTACCCAGGATCGATAGAGTGGGCGAGAAGTAGGTCTTCACAGCTTTCGCCACATCCTAGTGGCACCTAAATTGGAACCAGTAAACCTTCACAGAAGGTTCTTGGGCTGAGTGGGTTTTTTTCACTCCAGGATGAGCCAAAGGTCATGCTAAAATGGAATTTCCAGAAAAACAAAAATTAGCTAGTTACCTCTTAAGCCTTTGGGGTAAAAAATTCCATTCTATTTGAATAATGGGAGATTAAACATGTCAGCATTGTTCCGTTTCTGCTTTATTAAGGATTTAATGTATCTACCAAGACTTAATAAATTACAGAAAAGCCTTACAATGATCATTCAGACCATTTTCATTTGTCAGGTGCTTCTTTTTTCATAGACCGTTATTTGTTAGATGAAAATAAATCCTCAGTCTGTTTTTATATTCTGCTCTCCCTTAATGGAGCTATAGGAAACAGATTTCCTTTAACAAATATCTTCTTTTTAAGAAAGATTTGTTTCTATAAAGTGGTAACATAGCAATACCTATGCAACCAGATTAATTTTTAAAAATTGCAAAAGTTGGATCTATTGTCTAAAACATAAGACTCTCCTCGGACATAGATAAGCAGTTCTAGAAACGAGTTCAGAATTCCTTTTTCCCTGTCTAATAAAGATCATGACTCATCCAAGGTGGCAGTTCTTGCAAGCCTGTTTATATATGATGTGTATTTTTGTCATGCTGCGTGGTAAAAATGAATACAACCAAACTTAGTTACACAACAAAGAAAAACAAATCCTACCATTTGCTAGCCAGGTGAATTTATTTACAGCTGGTGCGTGTCTCTGGGTCCATTGTGGTCTTACCCCAGTACTTGTAATTCACCCTGTATGGTACCAGACCTCTTCCCTAGGCCTTTAGCAGAGACCCCAGGAAGGCTGCCCCAGGTCTGAATCTGCAGGAAAGGATGGGGAACTGAGAAAGAGATTCACACTCAAGACATCTCCTGGGTGGTCCCTGATAGTTGCAACAAGTAGGGCAGCATGAAGATGATGCTTTTCTAGGAGGCCCCCGTGGTCACTGGGTGAACTTATATCCTCCTCTGTGATAATGTCTCATAAATCCATGTCTGTGCCTTCACCTCTCTCCTGAGTCCCTGGGCTTTCGACCAACTGCCTGCATGATGTCTCTATCTTAAATATTTCACATCATGCCTAAAATTCAGTGTATCACATTCCCACACCACCAGGCATGCCCCAGTGTTCCAAGTCTCATCACCCACAAAGATGTCCAAGCCAGAAACCTGAGATTCAACTGGTGACCACTCATCTTGGTTTGTCCAGAACTTTCTCCAGTTTTGCACTGACAATCCCATGTCCTGGAAAACCACTTCATCCTAGCAAATTGGGAGGGTTGGCATCCTGGAGTAAGCTGAAGTGCTGCCCTCTCTCTTATACCATGTCCAGTCAATCACCAAGTCCCGTCAACTCCTGCTCCCTTGAGGATCTCCCTGCTCACGCCACTTCTCTTTCCCCAGATCCCACAACTTGAGGTCAGGACCAAGCTGCTTTCATTTCTCATCTCATAGTGGTCTCCTACCTGTGTCACTGCCCCCACGCTTATCCCATCATCCCTGTCCCTACTGGGTAAATTCGCCTACTGCAACCAGAGGGCCCTTTCTAAAGAGCAAACCTTATCTCACACACACACACACACACACACACACACACACGCACACACACCCTTTTGGTGGGTCCATTTTGCCTTTGGGATAACTTCTGAACACCTTGGCCTGGCGTAGTGTGTGAGCCTTCATGATCTCTCTGCTTACCTTTCTGCCTCCATCTCTCACTGCTTTCTTCCTCCCTGATTTGGGCTGACTTAGCTACAGTTTTTCAAAAGGCCATGCTCACTCTTGCCTCTAAGCCTTTGCAGAGTGCTCTTCCTGTCCTAGCTCAGTGCCCCGCTCCTGTAGGTGCTCTGTAGATATTTACTAATGGAGGCACCCCAGAGCACCAGGCCTGAGATGGGACACCATGTTCCAGCCTTAGATCTTCCATCCCCAGCTCTGTGGGCTTTGGGCTGCTGTGTCCTTTCTCTGAACTTCCATTTTCTCACCTATAAACTGAGCATTTTGGTCTGATGACTTAGGGACTTCCACTCTGACATTATGATCATGCATTTCTTCATTTCTTACTGATCATTCTAAATAGGAAGGAATAAGCAAACAGTCTCAGAATAAGTTTGCAGCTAGAGCCAGAGCATTTATTGTAGTGCAATTCTACTTGGATGATGTGTCTTCTCACATTTGGAGCAAAGATGCTGTTGTAAAATTTTATTTTTGGTTCCAACAGAAGATGAGGTCATTTAAATGCTGCCGAGACAGCTCCCTTTAATGTACCACTTCTGTTTTGATAAATAAATCCCTTTGTTTGCCTCTGTGAAGAGATGCACGTGTGAGCTCACATGGTAACTGGCGGTCTGTAGGAAGGGGTAGCACTCCAACGTTAATACAGAAATCCATAGCGTCCAATTTTGTGTGGTTTGGCTTTGTCTCAACAGGCTGACAAAGTCTCATTGCCCTTTAAGCCAGTGTAAAAGGAAGCAAGGGCCCAAGCCATCTGTCTAGACAGGATTTGTTTCAGAACTCAATCATCTCTACAACTGGATCGGTGTTCAAACACTGAACATTGGCAAACACACAGGTCTCCCATCTGTGTGAACTTCTTAACATCAGTCTCAATAAATTGTGAAGAACCGTAAGATTGATGGATAAACATTCTTTGTTTGTTAGTTCACTGACATTTATGCAATATTGTTATGTACTAGGCACTGTTCTAGTAGCAAGAGAACCCACTGGTAAATAAGAGATAAGGTTCCTGCCCCATGGCATTTATCACATATAGGAGGCCACAAGCAATAAATGGACGAATAAATGAATCAGAATGTTAGATGGTGACTACAAGTACTATAAATGAAATAAAACAGAGTGAAGTGAAAGATGGCGACAGTGACATGGGTGGGGGTGCTAATTGGTATTGGGTGTCAGGGAAGACCTCATCAAAGAAGTGACATTGAGCTGAAGTCAGGATGGGGCAGCCCTGCAGAATCTGGGGGCAGAAGGTTTCCAGGGAAGAGCCAGCAAATGCAGCTGCCCTAAGGCAGGAATGATAGAGTGTTCCGGGAGCAGGGAGACTGAAGCACAGTGAGTGATGGGGTGGGGAGCCCTGGGAGGTGATGAGGGAGATGCGGGCAGGGCAAGATCGCAAAGGTTCGTATATGCCGTTGCAAAGAGTTGCACCATCTTCTAAGTCTGGTGTGGAGCTGTGGGTAGTTTGAAGCTGAGTGCATCATAACGTATGTTTTTGAAACTTCACCCTAGAAGTGTAATGGAGAATAATGCATTGTAGGAGGTGAAGAATAAAAAGAGAGATCTGATTGGAGGCTATTGTGGTAACACAAGCTAAAGATGCTGGTGGCTTTGACAAGGGTGGTGACAGGGAAGAGGAGCAGAAGTAGATGCATGTGGGATCTATTGTGCAAGTAGAGCCTACAAATCTTGCTCATGGTTTGGATGTAGGAAATAGAAGGAGGAATCAAAGATAACTCATTGGCTTTCAGGTTGTATGTCCTGTTTAGCTTGAGTTGTCGATAGTGCCGTTCCTACTGAGATGGGAAAGAAGGAGAGTCTTGTTTTGACCATACCAAGGTGTGTATTAGATACCCAAGTGGAATTATAAGGAGGCAATTGGAAATATACTTGATATTTTTATCTTTGATTGGCCTGTTGGTTTTTGGCCAGTGCCAGGTTTAGCCTCATAAACTGCAGGCACTGGTCTTATTTTGAACTCAAGACTTCTATCAGCTATAATAGGCAGCCAGACGTAATACTGACCATTGTGCAACCAAGACTGATAACATCTGCCTCTTCCTTTATGTTCCTCTGAACTCCTTCATTAGGTGTTCGAGAAATTCCAGGGCAAGGAAACTTGCGTTGATTTCTTTGAACTCTCCCCTCATAGTTTCTGCTTGTGTAATTATGAGAAAAATTTATCCATGTTATTGAAGGAAAGTGAAAAAGAAGATTTGTTTCTTGACTAGGATGGTTGGCGGCTATATTACAGATTGGTCATTTCTGCCCTCTGAAACCATTTTTAGTGGATATGTGTTTTGCCCTGCTTTTAACTAGTTGTGTGTGTATGGGCAGGGGTAGAAGTGTGGAGCAGGTGTGTGGGTGTTCTTGATGAAAGTTATTTTTAATGCTTTTTGTCAAATATATGTTTACCATTATTCACTCCCCATGATCGTAGTTTTGCATGTTTCTTTTCTCAAGTGCTATTTCTAAAAGTATTTAAAAATTAGAAAGGACTGTGTCTAGTATTGTCACACTGTCTGTGAAACATACTTCACATGTTCTGTTTAACAAAAGGAGGATAGGATGGGAGAAAATGATGGTGTAACTAGTAATGGGGATGCATAGGTTTTTACTAATTTGGGCTAATACCAAATGGGTTTTCTTGTTTTTCACTTGCAACATCTTTTTATTAATAAATAATGAACTCAAATTACTGGTTGTGTTAGTGCGGATAGATAGCTTCCTTGTTCAACAATTAAAATCTTCTCAGTTACTTGATTTTTAGATGACAACCTCACTATTTACATCTCAGTGGAGTAATAAAGCCTTTTAAAATATATTACTTATTGAAATATAATCCACATACCATAAAATTCACCATTTTAAAGTTGCTTTTAGTATATTCAGAGTTCTGCAACCATCACCACTATGTAATTCCAGAACATTTTCATTATGGGTTGTCTTATTTCTGGACTCTAATAATGGTCCCTGTTGCTCTTGGGAAAGAGTTCCACAACTTTTCGGTCCTGGGAGAGGGAGGAACACTTTCACACATCTTCAAGACCCCAGGAGCTATAACTTACCTTCTAAGGAAAAAACAAGTCAAGCCACCATTCTGCTCTAGTTTCTCAACTGCCCATTGAGGTCCAGGGAGGCAGCCACAAGGCTGACCCGTGTGCTCGTCTGGGATGCTCAGCAAGCCAGGACAACAGCTAATCAGCACATCCCTGAATTTGTTTCCTTTGGGACCATCCACTAGGCCATAGGGTCTCATGTACTGGAAGTGTTGAAAGTTGCCATCTTGGCAGTTGCACTGATTCTCAAGGGTGGCTTCTTGGAAGTAGCAGGGCTATGAGAGACTCTGAAGGCCAGGGAGGCTGTTTCTGAATGAGGAAGAGAGAAAGGTATTCCAGAGGTCAGAGGCAAGACACCAAAAACCGTGGAGTCCAAAGTGAGACGATTGGATGATATAGGGATCGTTGACAAGTTCATGAACTACTGTGGTAAGCCAGTGACTTCTGAAGTTACATTTGGCCAGACAGGCTTCATTTGTCTGTGGTCAGCGGATGAAGGAGACAGTTGGCACCCCTGCATAGTGCTGGAATAATGGAGCCCCACCAAGCAGTGCTGTACTAGAAAAAGTGTAGGATCCAACAGGTCTCTGTCTGGTAATAATTTCCCCAGACATTCCTATTGCTGCACACCAGTGACCATTCAACATCTGTTTTTTTTACTGTTGCATAAAGTTTCATTTTAGTTTCTGACAGTGTGTATTTCAGATTCTCTAAATGCTTCACATTCTTTCTCTTTTGCAAGCAGCTTGAAAGGGCAATTTGCCTTTTTCTAGGGGGATGATGGCTTTGTCCGTATTGGGCCTTAATGGCTCCATTGGACCTTCGTGATGGATGAAGAGAGCAGATGGCTTTTGTTTTCTATGTTGAGGAATGCATTGTGACCCATACCCATCCACCTAGAGCTGAAAAGAACTACAGGGGTGAGCCTAAGTAAGACCCCAAAATAAATCACTTGGGAAGGTTTTGCTTTCATTTCCCTGAACAGCTAAGTATCTGAGGGAACTCAAACATTTCACTGTGGGCATGTTTGTGTCCTTGGAGTGAAACAGGGAGTCAAGCGGAGACTGAACCAAAGCAGAAAAGCTAACAGTGGTCCAGAGGACTTAGAGACACTTATTAGTTTTTTTAAAAGATAGATTTTTAGGGGCTGGCCCTGTGGCCGAGCGGTTAAGTTCGCGCGCTCCGCTGCAGGCGGCCCAGTGTTTCGTTGGTTCGAATCCTGGGCGCGGACATGACACTGCTCATCAAACCACGCTGAGGCAGCGTCCCACATGCCACAACTAGAAGGACCCACAACGAAGAATATACAACTATGTACCGGGGGGCTTTGGGGAGAAAAAGGAAAAATAAAATCTTTAAAAAAAAAAAAAAAAGACAGGTGACTTCTGTTTGCACTTGTCATTAAGTCACTTTAAAAAAAAAAAAGATTTTTATACAGGTTGAAGCTTTTTTTTGAATGTATTTAAAGAGTGTACAGACTAATGTCTATGAAAGTCAGTGACAAATTCATCAATTGATTTCCTGTTTTGGTTTCTCCTACCAGAGATCTCATTTATGTTTTGAGGAAGTTTAATATTCAGTGTGATGTTTTCACATATATATGCATATTTTATGCATGTATAAGTAATAGATGATACCTATCAACATTTATTGTGTATCTGCTAGGTGTCAGGAACACTGGTATCTGTTTCCATAAATACCTCATTTAGTCGTCACAGCAAACCTGGAAGTATTCATAATTATCTCCTCTTTAGTGGCAAAGAAACTGAGGGTTTTAGGCGTTAGGTGACCTTCGTAAGTACTAAGAGGCAGAGCTGGGTTCAAACTAGTTGAATTTCCTGGTGCTGAGACCCAGCTTTGTCTTCCTTTCATCTTCCTTTATCACTTAGTAGCTGTGCATAAATAAAAGGAACTCAAACAACCAGTGTTTACACGCACGTTGCTATCTAGGTTTCAGGCAGAAGCATCTTCACTTAACAGGATCCTGGTTAGGGAATTTGATCATCACTCTTGCTGTGCTGTCCGGTATCATAGCCACTAGCCACTGGTGGCTATTTAATTTAATTAAAATTAAATGAAATTAAAAAGTCAGTGTCTCAGTTGCCACTAGCTACATTTCAAGCTCTCAACCTGAGTGGCTTCATTTTGGATCGTACAAATATAGAACAATTCTGTCATCATAGAAAGTTCTATTGGACAGCACTGCCAGCTAGAGACTTTGGTCCACCCAGAGAATTTTTTCTTCTGTGATGATATGTGATACCTGTTGACAAGTAATGAGTGTTTGGCCTGACCTGACAGCTCCACTCTCCTGTGTCAATGCCGTGTGTCTGTCCATATACTTCACAGTGTGCTCACTTTTTCTTCCAAGGAGGAAGTTGGCCGGATATGGAAGATGGAGCTGCTTAAAGAATCGGATGGGCTGGGAATTCAGGTTAGTGGAGGCCGAGGATCAAAGCGCTCACCTCACGCTATCGTTGTCACTCAAGTGAAGGAAGGAGGTGCCGCTCACAGGTGATTAGATAACCCTCCCCCTTTCTCTGCCACCTTATCCTCTCCCTGCCCTTCCCTTCCCCCAGGTGCTAGGACTCTTCCATTGGTCCAAGCCCTGGTAATTACAGTTCACAAGGATGATGCTGGAGCCCAGAAGGAAATTGGGCACTAGCAGTTCTGATTAAACATACCTCTGAGCACAGGAAGTGGCTAATTGCTGGAGACACTGCAGTATCCGCCAAACCAGGAAGGAGAAATTGGATTTCTTTCTAGTCCAGTTTGAGTTGCTAGTGAATATTACTTATCCTAATGTGGGGGGTGCTAGTAATATGTAGTTACTTATTGAGACCATGCCATTCAAGAGAATACGCCACTCCTGACATCGTAACTCCCCTAAGACTGTGGCGAAGGACTTGGGGAAGTGATTGATTTTCAGCGTGACCACAGTTCATGTGCTGTGTCAGGGTTTGTCAGGTCTGTCAGGATGTTACGCACACTTATGTGCATGTGCCTCTGTCGTGCAGATGGGGAAGGGCAAGGGGTGAATGTGAATTTTTCTCCTTGTGAGCTGAAAACCATTCATATTCCAAAACTTCTCTTTTAATCTGAACAATTATCTGAAGTAGGGAGAGGGACAGTGCTTAGGCAGAGCAGGTACAAAGAAGAAGTCCGTTTGGAATTACAGGGATGGCGCTGTCCCAAAATGTAAGGCATGCTCTGGCTGTGCTGGCTAATTGCTCCCATGTACATAGGGCGTCGAGGATTTGCAAGGCACAGTGGGGCATGTACATAGGTTGCATGCCCACATGTATTCAGTAGGTGTATAAAGCTAGAGTTTCACTGATGAGGGAGGTGAGTCTAGTCTGGAATTTGCTGTTCAGTCCAGGTACCCTGATACTAAAGGGAATGTGACAAACCAGAGCAAGATTGGCCTGCCCAAGACAGAGAGGGCACTCAATAATATATCTCATGGGGTGGAGTTAAAAGAGCTGGAGGTATTTTCTCTGAAGAATGGAAAACTAAGGAGAGGACCAGGACACTATCTATCAAAGTGTTTCATGCTCATCAGTCTTCTAAGTAGAAAGTAGGATGCTAGTAACTAAAGTAGAGATAAGATTATGATCGCCAGTTATTTGGGTGGCAGTAGATTTTGAAGGATGAAAACCTGCAGTAATTTTTATCCAGAAGAGCATCGTTAACTTCCCAAATGATGTACACTGTAAAGAACTCCCATCAGGTAGCTGTTTTTCCATTAATCCTAGGTCTTGGGTTCCAGTCTGTCTTTGGAAAGCTGGCAATTAGGAAATTCCTGTGCCCAGAGATGAGCTTACATAGAACTGTTCTTGTCTATTTTCTATGTGAGCTGTTTCTAGTGGGTCTCACCATTTTCTTTTCACTCTCAGTCTGGAATTTCATGTCTCTCTCTCTACCTCTGGGGTGTGTAATTCACAAGTGGGGCATTCTAGTTAATAACAAGAGATGAGAGAAATGGAATTAAAGAGGGAAATAAGAAAAGAGATGGGATCAGGGATGGTCTTGGTGGTGGTGTGGATAAGTAGACCCAGGAATACTGGCCAGAACCATTGTATTCTTGGACCTTCTCCTCCAGAGTGGCCTACCCACACACCGCCTGGAAGTTCCAGTTAGTTCTCTGTGCTTTGTCTATTCCTCTTCTCTTTCCATTCCAGGCAGCTCGTGGGGTCCTTAGCATTTCTCTGCCTTAGGGATTTTTGAAGGATTGAAAGCAGAAGCAATCAGAAGTTTCTGGTGCCTTCTGTCTTCTGTTAAAGCCTAAATTCATAAAAGAGATTATGATACATGCCCTGGAGGATGGAGAGAAAGAGGGAGAAACTGGTGAGGGAAGGAAGGATAGAGAGAAGTTGGTTGATTCTTTGAAAGAAAGCAAGATGGTGAGTCTACAGATTGGAAAGAAACAGAAGTGGGTAGACCTGGAAGTCATGAAGACATGCACCAGTCCCACAGCAGCACCCTGGGTGATGATGTAAAGGGGCTGGTGGAACCCTAGGCTTAGGGTCCCTCAGCCTCACCAGATTTCCTGTCCCCCATTTACCAATGGAAATGAAAAGCCTCTGCCTCCTTTGGGATCATGGGAGATCTGAGCATTGGAGGCTGTTGACCCACCATGATTGAAGGGGCTTGCCCAACGCTCTGGCACAGTGTGCCACTCTTGACCTGTGATGACTGGGTCTCCTGCCAGCCCAGTGGGAAGGAAGCTCCCAGTCAGCTGTAATTTAATTGGAAGGAAATAGAGAAATAGAATATGTTTGTACACCCATATTGTAGACGAGGTCTGATACCTGCAACAGTGGCAAATTAGCTAATTTCTATGTTCTTTTTTTTTTCGCCGAGGAAGATTAGCCCTGAGTTAACATCTGTGCCAGTCTTCCTCTACTTTATGTGTGGGATGCCACCACAGCATGGCCAGCAAGTGGTGTAGGTCCATGCCCAGGATCCAAACCCACAAACCTGGGCTGCTGAAGCAGAATGGGCCAAACTTAACCACTGCAGCACAGGGCCTGCCCCTCTATGTTCATCTTTATATTCATTCTTCTGTTTGTGAAGCTCAGCTGCAGGGACACAAGGATGAAAAAGGGGCTGAGAGACTTTATCTTCAAGGTCCTCTATGTGTGTAGAGGGGGAGAAATGGGCGTATACATGCAGTGTAGTGTCACAGGGCCCACAGAGGACATCTGGCCATGGGCTTGTCACCTGGGAAGAGAGAGACAGTGGGATAGAGAAGGATTGCTGGTGAGATTGGACTACCTTCACTTTTTGCAGCTCAGCCGAGTGACTCAGCCCTGTGCTGATGACTCAGTCATGAGGGTGGGATGACACATAGGGTTGAGACAAGAATGACTTGACTATCCTAAATTAAATCCTGCCACCTTGGGGTCTGTGTTCCTCTATTATTGTCTCCACCTGGATGGAAGACATTTCATTGACATCGACGCAGGATATGGTGGTAACTTTAGAACGTGCCTATTACTAAGCGACCATCTGAAATCATGGAACTTTCCACTCCTCTGAGTTCGAATCTGGACCCAGCAGACTAAAGGATATAGCAATCCCATCCCAAGCATCTCTGGTCGTACCTATTTCCTCTTTAGCCCGATTTTAACTCTCCCCTCCCAAAACCCTCCCCAGCTCCAGGAAAGTGTCCCTTCTCAAGCCCAGAATGTCTTGACAAGGGATTTTGTTCCCCATCTCCCTTTCCTCAGGGATGGCAGACTGTCCTTAGGAGATGAGCTGCTGGTAATCAATGGTCACTTATTGGTCGGGCTCTCCCACGAGGAAGCTGTGGCCATTCTTCGCTCAGCCACTGGAATGGTTCAGCTGGTGGTGGCCAGCAAGGTAGGTAGTTTGTTTCTTTAAATATTTTAAATGGTGGTAGTGAATTTGGATTTGAGCCTTCCCCATACCACTCGCACACGCACGTGTGCCTGTGTACTTGGACATTTACCTTGGGCCATTTAAACAGCCATGATTCTACAGTGCAAGCCCACAAGGGGGCCCTTAGCTGAAGTGCATATAATTATTTTGCTTGCCTTTAAGGGTCTTTGTAATATACTTAGGAGATGGAAAAGCAATAATAGGACTAAGGGAAAGGTAAGAATGGCAGGGTGGAAGGAAGGACAAGGTAGGGAGAGGAGCAGTTTGCTCAGGGAGAAGCCAAAGAGGAGATGTGGGAGTTCGCTGGAGAGCGGGGATGGGAGAGAGGTGTGGAGATGGACAGCATCCAGGTCCAGACAGAACATGGTTCAGGGCCCTGGTTCTGACTCAGGGCCTCACAGAGTATTGGTGCTGGAGGAAGCCTTGTGAATCCTCTGTCCAGGCACACCCCGCCCCACCCCCCTCCACCTTTATTCCTCCTCAGTTTTACAATAAGATAGGGAGGCAGAGTTTCCATGGCCGGCTCCCACCTCGCAGAGACCTTGTTGCTGTCAGCAGTCCCAGGACCCATACTTTTGATGTACAACTGGTGTTTGTCCCTTCCATCTTGCTGCCTTCTCTTCTTCAGGAGGCCTCGGGTTGGGGCTTCTTGCACCCCCACCCCCGGAGTGTGCGAAAATCGTGCTGATGTCCAGGGCCCCTAGCATTGCTTCCTCCCAAGTCTGCCCAGCCTTACTGTGCAGTAAAGGCTGCAGTACTCCACAGCTGTGTGACGAGAAAGGGGCAGAGCTGGGCTCTCTTGGTCCTGCTCCGTCGTCTCATCGTGCTGTTGAGGAGACAAAGAAAGCACCCATCTGGCTGAAGAGCTAGTGAAGTGGAGCCACGGGGCTTCGTTCCAGTTCAGGGCAGAATTGGTATGAGGCGACCCCGGTCCTTAACCCTTCACAGCAATACGCTCTTGCCAGTCTGGCTAATTTTCCCCCCGTTATCTCTGTTATTATTTTTGAACCTAGCATCTACAAAATTGTGTGTATTTTCTCTGTTCGATTGCAAGGTCCGTTGCCTATTTTGGGAGTGTTTAATAAATAGATTAGAAGGATATTTTGAGCTCTCTGAAATATCTGCCTTGCTCCCTTTACACCTTTTACCCCAAAACCTTGACCTTGACTCTCAGGCTTCCAGCAAGAATACAAAACCTTGGCAAAGACCTGGCAGGAAGAGTTGGTGGCATCAAGGCCCTGGAGGCAGGAGTTGAGATGCTCTCCATTCATAGCCCCCTCCTCCCCTCCAGAGATACCATGGGGCAACCTGGCGTCTCCTCACTCGGGGTAGGGAAGAAGAGCAAAGCCAGGGATGTTCTCTGTAGCCTGGTGAATTCCACAAGAAGGGAAACAGTGCAGGGAACGGAGGAGCCAGTTCCCCATTTGGCCAGCTGTGTTGGGAGTTTGAAAAGCATCCCTCGGTCTTAAACACATACACACAGAGTCATATGTTTGCATGGCCCACCTCTCCGCAGTCTGTGGCTTAAGAATGCAGGGATTTCTGCACAGGCATTACTCCATGTCCACCAGACCTTTATTTCTATGCCCACTTCTTTCTCCTGCTAGTTTGGAAAAGGGGGAAGGGAAATCTCTTCTATGTCAAGCTGTTATCCACAAACAGAGAAAACATAAAATAAAAACAAAAAAGGGACACTCATGGGTAAAGCTAATAATTAAGAGGCATACATGGGATTTTGAAAACAGATCTTGATGCCCAACCTATGATCTCACTTGCCTACTTAAAGGAAGAGAGGACACTAACGTGTATCAGATGCCCACTGGGCGCCGGGTGCTTCTTACCTATTATCTTATTTAATTCTTAAAATAAATCCCATGAGACACATATTCTTTTTTTTTTTTTCATTCAAAGGATGAAATTAAAATCTTAATGGTTAATTAATTTTCCCAAAGGTCATGCGAGCAGTGGGTGGTTTCATGCTGGGTCTGTTGGACTTCATAGTTCATGCTTCTTCCTGTGCACCAAGCTGCCCCTTGGTCAAATAGGATCTAAAGGACACCAGAGCCAGTGGTACTAGAAAAAGGTGACATATTCCTGCCAGAGGCTTTGACTTGAGGGACACCTGCTGGGGTCTTTGTAGCCCTGAGCAGCGGTCCAGAGCCGAGGACTGAGGCTCCATTCTAATTCTTGATCCACTGGCTCTGGGCCATTGGTACAGAGCTGTGGCCCCAGAGCTGACCCAGATCTCATACGAGGGACACCGTCCCTTCTTTATATGCTCTGTTTACAGCCAGGCAACACACTGCTACAGCAGCTGCCTGCTGTTTGCTCCTAAACTTCCTCAACACCCTCCAAGGTGCTCATCACGGAGGAGAGAACAGAAGAGTCAATCTTTGGGCCCCTCTTGGCATCCGTTCCTCTTCTTTATCCCACAAGAGCAAGTAATCCACGGGCTTTGTTTCTATCTTTATATTTGAAGAGAGGGAGAAGAAAAAAAGAGCTTTTGGCTTGGTGAATATAAGGGATAATAAAAATATAAATTATCATTATTGCAGATAATAGTCACCTTGTCATAAAACTTGATGGCATTGTTTTGGAAATACAGCAGCTGCTTTCTTCTGGAGAGAGTGTCTCGTGTTTCCACACAAATGTGGTGTTTATGGATACTTAGGGGCTTAGAAAGTTCTCGTGGCATGAATCAACTCAGAATATCCGAGTTTGTTTTGATCTTCCCAGAAGTACATGCATAGCAATATGGATTTCTCTTGTGCTCTCCGTTTTTTTTGTTTTTTCATTCTTGGTTTTTATTAACAAGTAATAAGCATTTATTATATCTAATGTAGAAAACCCAGAAAAAATATAGAGAAGAAAAAAGGTAAAATTTTCATAATACCACCAATAGTACTATCCATTAACTGGTGTGTCCTTCCAGACAGGAAGACATGTATGCGTGTGCAGTATGCACACACGTGTTTTCTTTTAAATGGAGTCAAGCACAAGGAGGCAGAGTGTGCCTGGAGGCAGACCCCCCTGGACTGAAGTGCCAGCACAGCCCTTGAAAAGCTTTGCATCTTAAGCAGGTCACTACATCTCTCTAAAGCTCAGTTTTCTCACCCGTACCATAGAATCAGTAACTACTTCCTGGGATGTTAGGAAGATGAGATGACATGAGATAAAAAGGGCTCTGCACAGTGTAGCTGGTCCCAAGCACGTGGACCAGCCTTTATGGTTATCACATACTATTATTACATCCATTACATTGATTACATGATTATTACATTATCACATATCTATTATCACACCCATTATTAATATGGTTATTACATGTACTTTTAACCTGCTTCTTCACTAAGTAACACACTGTAAGAATCTTTCCACATCAAGAAGTACCTTTCTGCAGCATCATTTTTCATGACCGTGGAGCATTCTATCCTGTGGCTGTTGTGAAATTTACTCACCAGTTGGGACCTTCATCTTTTTTTTTTTTTTTTTTTTAACTCTTTTCTGTTAATGGTCTAGCAGAGTTGACATCATAGAGGAGGACCGAACTCCATTTTTCCTTGATGGCTCTCTTTGCTTCCCTTAGGCGAGGTCTAACAGTATACTCTGCACAATCACGGATCTAAAACGAATGAGCTTCAGGTACCTTGACGGTAGAGCCTGCATGAAACTAGTAACAAGTTTCACTGTCACCAGGTGCCAGCTCACTAATCGTTTGTCACATCCATCGTTTAAGATGGGTATTTTTTATTGTTCTCTTTTCTTTCAACCTCCAAGGAATATGCTGATCAAAATTTTCCACGTTTCCTTCCTTGTAGAAATGGCTGGTGGGGGGGTGGTGGTGGAGAATGAGGAGAGGACACATTTCTCCTTTTTCTGGCCTCAGATCAGCCCTGCGGCCCTGGCCCCTGGTGTGATGTGCTGTGGCATTTCCCTGGAGAGCTCTCGGCTCCTGTGTGTGCCACATTATCATTTGAGGTAGTCTTGTGGCCTCAATGATCTCGCCTGTATCCCACAACGCACTCTGACCTTATCTGTGCGTAGGAAGGAAGGGCAGTGTTGATGAAGCCCCCTCTACCGTCTCATCTTAATGGATGCTAATTCCAGGTATTTTTGTTGACCTTTAAAATTTGTTCAAGGGCTGCTTTCATTGAAAAGACGTTATCGGTCTCCACTTTGGTGCTATGATTCAATAATCAGTCTAATCTCTTTCTAATGAACAGATGCTTGTGAGATGAGCACTGGGGGAGAGGAGGATAAAATGGATATTTGAGCTCTGTCCTAGGCCTGGGGACACAGCCATGAGGAGAAATGGTGTTAAGTTTGGGGAACTCTCAGATAAGCAGGGGAGATAGACAAGTATAGTTAGACATACACTGTGAGGTGATAAAAGAAACAGTGAAGGATGTTAGAGAAGAAAGGAGGGGCACCTGGAATGCCTCCTGAGGGGATCCAGGAAGGCTTGGAGAAGGAGAGGATGCTCAAGCTTTGCCCAAAGAGGCCTTAGTCAGAAGAGGAAGGTTGGTCTAGGCAGACGGAGCTGCTGGTGGAAAAGGCAATAGGGTAAGGGAGAGCCTGGCATGTGAAAGTCAGTATGGCTTGAATGGAAGGTGGGCTGGAGGAGAAAATGGACAGAAAGGAGTTTGGAGAGCTGGGCAGAGGCCAAATCTCTAAGATGCTGGCCTGCCAATGAGCTGGCTTAAACTGTATCCTGAAAGCAAGAGGGAGAGTTTCAAAGGATCATTAAGTTCAGGGAGCTCGGACTGCCCGCAGAAACATTCATCTGAGAAACACAGATTCTTCAGGGGAAGAAAAATTAGTTTGGGTTTAAACTGAGTCCACACCCCTGACGTTTGGGGTAAGCTTGCAAACTTGGAAATTCAGAACACACATTCCATATAGTCTTTGGGTTGGGAGCACCACGACCACCCACAGGTGACTCTGCTGGGTTTTCCTTGACCTTGACCCAGAACTGCTTGGTGCCATGGGGTAATTCGTGGGCCTTTAATTGTGTCCCCATAGGAAAGCTCTGCAGAGGACCTGCTGAGGTTAACATCTAAGAGTTTGCCTGATCTGACCAGCTCTGTAGAGGACGTGTCCTCTTGGACCGACAACGAAGACCAGGAGCCAGACGGGGAAGAGGACGAAGGGACCAGCTCGTCTTCCATCCAGGGAGCAGTAAGTGAGCCTCTGGTTTCCCAAGCTGCTCTGCTGGAGTGATATTTTCCTGAAGACGTGGGTGCCAGGATCAGAGAGAAAAGCTTGACATAGGATGACAGAAACCAGGATGGGAGAGGACCACAGGGCATTCTTTTAAGTTTTTCTTTAGAATCTTCCTGAAAAATCTGCAAAAAAATCTTTTCATTTAAGAAAATACATTGAAACTGGAAACAGGATAAGAAAGCAAATGGATATTAAGTGGGTGTATCAATTTCTAGGATGCTTAATAATATATTTAAGGATTTTATTGCTACTTCTTGATATAGCGTTTGAAAACTATTGTTTGTGAATTTAAACTTAGATGGAGAGATTTCTGGTTGAAAGGGAAATGTTAAAATAACACAAAACCAGGGCTGGCCCAGTGGCGTAGTTCTTAGGTTTGTGCGCTCCCCTTCTGCAGGCCAGAGTTTGTGGGTTCGGATCCCAGGCGCGGACCTACACGCCACTCAGCAAGGTATGTTGTGGCAGCATCCCACATACAAAATAGAGGAAGACTGGCACAGATGTTAGCTCAGGGACAATCTTCCTCAAGCAAAAAGAGGAAGGTTGGCAACAGATGTTAGCTCAGCAACAATCTTCCTCACCCAAAAAAGTAAACCGCCTGTTGAGGCAAAGGTGAATAGAGATGTCTTACAATTTTAATCAAACCAGGGCTCTCACATGGCTCCTAGCTTTTCCTTACACAGCCTGTCACGTCACGTCCTCATGCTCTGCTCTCGCACACTGCCTGGAACACAGAGGCAGGAGGCTTCTGGCTAACTCTGTTTGCATCGTGGCTCTGTGGTCTCCTCTTTGTACCCCAGATCTGACAGATGTGTCGTTTTGAGAGTTATGTTAACCCTTGTTAGCTCTTGTTACTCATCCCACCAGCCACGGGGAGGGCGCCCTCTTTTTGCCATTTGGAACCTCTTACTCCTTCCTGCCAGCACTGAACGTAGGCAGCATGGATAAGCATTGGAAAATTAGTTTTGCTTATAATTTAGCCTCAGGAGACAAAAAGTGCCTCTCTTGTTACATTCACACAATATGCTATTTCAATTTAGGAAAAAAAGTTGCTTTTCCCCTTTCTTTTTGATCACTGGAGATTCAGGGCTGCTGAGTGTGGTTGTGCAGGTTGTGGACTGCACAAAGTTGCCACATCTAAGGGAGCATCACTCACATCATAGGCTCTTATATTTATTAAGACAGTTTTTTGGAAGATGTGAGTACAGAGTTTTGCCCCAACAAAATCAGTGTATTAGGACAGCTTTCCAGTGAAGGAAGGAAAACATCTTGAAGAGCAGCCTTTCTGAGATTCGTCACCGGTGTTGTACAGGCTCATCGTTGATTTCCCACATTTTTCCAGCTGCTTTCCCCTCAAAGGAGAGCTTTCTGAGAAGACCCGCAGTAAAGCAGGTACAGCAGAGCTGAATGAATGGGATTGACGTGAACAGTTTCGAAACAGCTGTGAGATTCTTCCATTCTCTTTGTATCATGACACCATTCAGTGGCTTTCTTTACTTTTAGTGCGAGTAGAGACCAAATTAATTTTCCTGGTCTACACTGCCTCCCTGACCGACCCTGCCTACTTCTCAGACCTCAACTCGCGCCAAGCTCAGCATCACTCCTAAGCAGCCACCACACAGCCCCTCCTGCCGTCCCTCATAATAGCCCCCGTCTTTGTGCCACAGGAACTTTGCAAATGCTGTTCTCTCTCTCTAGAGTCATCTTTGCCCTGTTGACTCCTGTTCATCGTTTGGATCCCATAGTTTTACTTCCTCAGAGAAGCTTTACTGAATATCCCCCCTCTGTATTAAATCTCTCAGCTTTCATACTGTGACCATGTGACTCTCCTGTGAGCTGCTTGTCACATTTGAATTTGCGACCATTTGATTAGGATCTGTTTCTCCCATCCAACTCTGAACTCCGTGAGGTGAGGTTGTGTGATGGCTGGTTTGGGTTCCCAGTGAATCCCTAGAATTTAGCCAGAGCATCTGGGGTTGAGTAATAAAAATAACTAAATAAATTGAAAACAAGCGACAGAGCAAGGAGTCATTGAAAACTAATGAAAAATGAAAACAAAATCTAACTAAATTTATCCATCATAAAAATTATAGTTACTCTGGCCCACAGCCGACCACAGCTCAGCAGTTTTTGGGGTGAGATCCACATTCTGGCCCATTGGTCTCCAGGGACTTTCTCCTTGAATAAGCCTTGCACGGGTCTGAGCATTGAGCATCTCCTCCTCGCGACCTTCTCCTGCTGCTGTTTACCCATCCTTCAAGGCCAAGATCTTTCATGAGCCCATCTGCCCTTCCTCCCTGTGACCTCGCCAGTCCAGGGACTCTCTGGGCTCTATGTTGACACAGCAGTCCCCCTCTGCTCCTTGTTATCCACTGCACAAGGAGGCGATTGGAGTATGTGGTAGTCCCACCAGTGGTCCTCTCAACTCTCTCGTGACTCCGATACGCTCATCTCTTCTAACCAGACATCCTTCCCTAGCAGCTCTCCAACCCACAGCCTTCCTCCCCTCATCTGCCCACAGTGTGGAGAGCGCGCCCCTGCTGAACAGGACCCCTCTGCTCGGCAGCTGTGCCCTGGGGCAGCCCATCTGGTTTCCAGTGCTCTGCAGCCCCTCCGCTCTCCTTCTGATAAAGCCCAAAGCCATTTATGGAGCATGATAGTGTTTGTGGAGAGGTCACCGTTATAGACATCTCTCAAAATTTCACAACTCATTCTCTTGCAAAAAAACTCCAAGGAATTATTTAATTGTCTAGGAATTTTTTACAATAAATTCAGCTCAAATAAATGGGCCAGTACATATATTAAATATGTTATATATTATGTATTTTATTTAAATTATAATTTAAATTTATTTTTATAAATTTATAATTTTTATATATGTATTATAATTAAAATTATTTGAATTATTACATAAGTGAAATGAGTATTTGATTACAAAAGTAATGTTTTCACTATATGAATGTTTGACCCTTCCTAAAACACAAAAGATAATATAAATGCCATCATACTGTTCAAAAATAGCCATCTTTGTAACATTTTGCAAGAAGTTTCTTTTTGATTTTTTCTTAAGCACATATGTATTTTTAATTGATCTTGTATTTGCTCATGAAACTTGCTATAGTCTCAACGATATATTCATGAACATTTCCCCATGTCACTAAAAGGCCTTCTGAAACATGATTTATAATGGCTAATATTCCATAACATGGAAATGTCATAATTTATTTCACCAATTTTCTACCATAAATTCTATTTACATCAATCACATGTATATGTAATTATTTTCAAAATTACAAAGAATTCTGTACAGAACATTTTTGCCCGTGTAGCTCTGTGCACATTTTTATTTTCTTATTTGCTTAAGTAGCTTGTAGCAGAATTGCTTAGTCAAAGATTTTCTCCAGAGAGATTATTTATGCTAATTTACACTTCTAGCAGTGGCCAGTTTCCATCATCACCAATAATGTTATCTTTAAAAAAAAAAAGCTTACCAGTTAATCACATACTGTGTTATATGCTGATTATTGTAGTTTTTCCAAAGGAATTTCAATGCATTCTGTCATAACACACTTTATTTGGGAAGCTTTAGGTTACCTTTAAGGAGAAACAAATGACTCTGAGCAATAATTCTCCAAAGTGCATGTTGCGGGGCTGGATTCCCGGGTTTCTCCTTCATGTCACCCCTGGCTGTCAAACACAGATCCCAAACCCATTGTCATTGGCGGAGAAACCAGAACTGATCTGCTTTGACAGTTCTGCTTTCTCCGAGCCCCGGACACGGCCTCGCCCGTCTTCACCCTCCGCTCCACCCCCCTCACGGAGCACTCACAGAGGAGGGGACACCTGGGGTCTTCCCGGCTTGCCGCCTGAACGGCCATCCTTTGTTAGCCATTCTCTCGAGCTCTGGCTTCAACCAGGAGCACCAGCCCTGGGACAGATCCTGCAGGGCCAGGAGGTGGGCGGCCACAAGATAGTTTCCGGATTTCACAGTCTGCCCAGGGTCTGCCCCACTCTGCCTTATAAAGGTGCTGAACTACTGAGGGAAAAAATATTTTTTAGGTCTATGTTTACAATCCAAAACTCTGTTTTGTAATTTTATTTTATTATTATTTTTTTTTGTTGAGGAAGATTAGCCCTGAGCTAACATCTGCTGCCAATCCTTCTCTTTTTGCTGAGGAAGATTGACCCTGAGCTAACATCCATGCCCATCTTCCTCTACTTTATATGTGGGACGCCTGCCACGGCATGGCTTGACAAGCAGTGCCTTGTCTGCACCCGGGATCCGAACCAGTGAACCCCGGGCCACCAAAGCAGAACACGTGAACTTAACCACTGTGCCACTGGGCCAGCCCCTGTTTTGTAATTTTAAACACTAATGAACTGCTTAAATGAAAGAAACCTGGTACTGTTCTAATCAACTAAGTTACAAAGGCTTTTGTTTCACCAACGATAATGATTAAACCTGCAGCTGAATCCCACTCAGACACTGACTCTCTTTGCACCTGTAAGTCGTGGCGTGCTCCAAGCAAATGTAACACAAATGCTAAGGCTCCGCCATGAGCAGCCTTCTGACTTATTTCTCACGGCTGCAGCAAAGAGCATTGAGATTTTTTTCCCTTCAAAAAAGCTCCAGCCATGCTTAGGATAAAACCATATGGTGAATATCAACTTGGAGGAGGAGAGGCAGGAAAAAAGAGAACGGGAGTAGGACAGTGAAGTTCCACAGTCAGTTGCATAGTTGTCATCCATCTCAGTGGGGTCTGCTTCAGCAGCAGGGCTCTCTGTCCACCGCCCACCACCACATCCAATGTTAAAGACTGCCAGTTTGGTCTCAGGAAGATCTCAGTCTAGCCTCTCCCTCCTAGCGGCTGTGGTCCTGGTCCACCTGATTGGCCATTCTTTCTCAGGTCTGTCTTCTCCACTTTGTCTTCTGCTCTGCAATGACAATTTTTAAA